AAAATCTACAGAGCAGGAATGACTAAACGCATCTGATGGTGACAATTAGTCAAGACACTGAAAGACATCAAAGCAGGAGAAAAACACAAAGCAGGCAGCTGTGAGTTCAGAGGACCTGCGCTCTGTGGTACCCACCCTGGCTGAGCATCTTTTCGGGGCAGTGTCCCATGTAGGATCGGTGTGTGAGGGAGAGGGGCAATTTGTGGGCCGAATTCAGATTGCAGGGGAGAGGCTTTAGGCCAATGCTCTCCTCAGTGCTGTAACAGTCTGTCAGAGGAGGAAGAGCAGACGCCACACAGGATTAAACACAGAGCGAGGCGGCTTGTAGATCTGATTCAGTTCTTGATGTTGTCAAGAGGGATCAGCAACCAAAATGCTCATTGCGTGGGCAGCTCTGCACTTTAGGAGTCTATTAATAACTCAAGACGAATGACACATAGATTTGGTGTTCCACCACTGACACATTGTGCTGTGATTTAAATGTGTTGAGCACTTCTTAGAAGATGATTGAGAGTTTCTATATTCAAAATTCAGTAATAAGTTAATTGAATAAATATTGGGTAAAATGAGTGCGTTTCATTTAAAAGAGAATTTGTACATCATCTTGCATCTACTTTGAGTGGCACGTGGGAGAGGGAGTGGCTCTTGAAAATGAATCAAAAGCTGATTGGTTGCCCCATGAGTGAAATGTCCAATAGCATTTTTTATCTCGAATGGTAAATGAAAAAAACAAACAAAAAACAAACCAACAACTTGCAAATGTTCTTTAAAATGCTATTTAAAATGTGCATTTTAAAATTTTTTATTATTTTATTTAAACAAATTTTAAAAATCATAAATTGTTTTAAATATCAATTTATTTTTTAATCATTATTTACTATTATTTTAACTACATTTTAAATCATGAATTAAATAAACAGTCTCAAATATGTACATTACTTTGTTCGTTTAAAAAAGGATTTAACTCTTTTCATTGTATTTTTGAATTATTTAATTATTGTTAAACTAAATTAATTCTAAAATTACAAAGGATAGCCTTTTAAGGCTTCATTTGTTTAGTAATTTATGAACACGCAGTGGTACAGTTTAAGGCAGTAATTATAAGGTAGCAATTCATAAGGCAGAGTATCTTTCTACTTTAGAAGGCATACAAAACAATTAAAAAATGCATGTGCATCTTTATCTTTTATACAGGTGAACTATGACCTGCAAATTCACATAGCATGAGACATTTGACAAACAGGATCTAAATCTCACCAACTAAGAACTAAACCTGTAAGAAACTCATTTCATCAATCCAACTTTAAAAGAGTATCTTAAAAAATAACAAGTTTAAAAAGCTGGATGGTTTTTAGCATGGCATTAGAAGATATATTTTTACTTTTAAAATGCATAACTTGTCATAAATAGTTTATTATTTATGCCAAACAGAAACCCTAGAGCATGACATCATATCCTGTTGCTCAAATATATTGCCAGGTCTGCAGTAATTTTACATAATTGAGAAATACTTTAGAGAAAGTTTGCAGCTCCAGCAGACAAACAGAGGGGGCAGCAGAGAGCTGAAGATACACAGAGACACCACTGCACTAAAACAGCCGTCTCACCTGACTTCAACTTCCTTTTCTTCTTCTTTTTCTTCAGTTTGATGCGGAAGAAATCCCTCTGCCGCTTCTCCCTCAGCCTCTCCCGTTCTTTCACTCCTTCAGATGAGAAAATCAATCTCTATTATTGTCATGGCCCGACTGTGGTAATATGCAGAGGAATCAGTGTCAGCATGTGCACAGAAATGGATGGAATGATCACGATGTTCAGCAATACCTGTTTCCTTGGCAACCCAGTCTCTGTCGTCATGCAGCGAGCGGTTGAAGTGTTGATTTTCTTTGCTCCTCTCTGCGCCCAGCGTGGCCGAGCGCTGCCGGTGCATGCTGCCAACCGCAGGGGGCGACAGAGCGTGACCTGACTTACTGTCACTCAGAGGAGAGGGAGTATCTGTGGGAGGAAGTTCATATAACAGACACTTATTAATGCTTTTTTTCCCTGTCATGTCTAACATAGCTGTTTGTGCATGTAAACTATGGTTTTCAAAAAAGAGGACAGTGGGGGCAGGATGCAGACGGGGGGAGGGGGGCCCTTAGTAGCACAATGACAATATCCCAAATATCAAAACTCAAAATATGTCATTTCCATACATAAAATAACTATTTTACCGTCACCGTTATGCAGACTGATCATAAACCCAGCTAAAAGGCTTCCTACCAGTGGCCGTCCTTCACAAAACTTAACATCTACCACAGTTTTATCATTGGTAGAATGCAAAATGTTTCAATACAAGCATTTCAGTCAAATTTTTATTTATACAATATTTCAAACTTTTAACCTACGGAAGAAAATCAACATGCTGCAACAGTTTAAAATCAGCCCAATTCCATGCAAAAAAAATTTGGATTTGGCAACCCTGCATCCAACACGAGCTGCATCCAAAGTGATTTAAATACTCCGCATATTGATAGCGGCTCCCTGATGAGTGAAAATTATATGCAATATTATAATGTTTGCAGGAGCACACAGTAATGGTCAGAAATTCAGCCGGAGCGGGATTAAGAAAACAGCACGCAGGGCTTTAATACAAAGACGCACACAATGAATGACGATTATAGAAAGCAAAAGCCGAATCCCAGACATTTTGGGCGATTTAGAAATCCTGGCCGGACGCATTTTTTTTAGGTCCAAAAAGAGGACATGTCCAGGGAAAAGAGGACGTATGGTCACTAGGGGTGTGACGAGACACTTATCCCACGAGACGAGACACGAGACTGGGTTCACGAGAACGAGACGAGACGAGATTTTTAGACTTTAAAGAAATCCTCAATGATGAAATATATGGGGGAAAATAGTTTTTTATTCAACTGAAAAACAAAATGCAAAAAAGTAGGTGCATTTTGAAATCAACTTGTACTTTATGAAATTAAACATCTATTTTAATAAATTTTATGCAGTAATAAACATGTAAACATTGCAAAATGTTTTGCCACAAACTGAACTGACAGGCAAGTAATTGCACAAAAATGATAAATAGTATAAATAAAAATAAATAATAAACAACATAAATATCCCTTTAAAGAAGGACGAAGCAGTCAGTCAAGTTTACATTATTTAGTAAACTGATTTCCACTTTAATAAAAAAATATATATAATAAACACGATTAATGTATCCATTTAAAAGAAACTGGGGGGCACGGCAAGGCTGAGGCATAGTTAGGGCCCTATGAAATCAGTTTTATTTTTTCCTAATTTTCTCACCATATTATTTATATTTTTTAATGTTACCAAATTCTGTGTTTTAGCATGCCTAATTATATGAATGCATAAAACAACTTAATTTATTCATTTTTTTTCTTAAAGTAGCCTTATTAATTTTTTTTCCATCAGAAATTCTGTGTTGTGTATTTACATTTTTCTGGTTATCATATGAAGGCATAAAACATTAATTTAATGTATCATTAAAATGGAAGTGAAGCAGTCAGTCAAGTTTACATTATTTAGTAAACTGATTTCCACTTTAATAAAAAAATATATATAATAAACACGATTAATGTATCCATTTAAAAGAAACTGGGGGGCACGGCAAGGCTGAGGCATAGTTAGGGCCCTATGAAATCAGTTTTATTTTTTCCTAATTTTCTCACCATATTATTTATATTTTTTAATGTTACCAAATTCTGTGTTTTAGCATGCCTAATTATATGAATGCATAAAACAACTTAATTTATTCATTTTTTTTCTTAAAGTAGTACCAGTACCACTCAAACTAGAACATGTTATTACAAGCTTTAATGAAAATTCAACACACTTTATTTTTGGCAAACAAAGGGGATTTACTATTAAAATTAAAACATGGAAGAAATGTTTTGTGTGATTATTCCTTAGAAAATTATGTTTGTTTCATTTTAGTAGTAGTAGCTGTAGTAGTAGTAGGTTATGTACATTCTACTGAAAAATAGTTATAGGCACTATGTCTTCAAATCAAACCGGACTTTTATTTTGACGGGTTGCCGTGAATACCGTTACAGTTCTGTGTATGAGATATGACGCTAGTTTTACTCAAATCAAATGGTCAAATGCTCATGAAGTGACTCTCAGAGCAGTTCTGGAGATGTTGTTCATGTGTTTACGTCCTCATTTAGTGAGACGGCAGACGCTGAAATCACCGCGAGCGTCACGCGCTTCAGTATGTGTGTAGTAAATTAAACCGCGCGTCTGCGCCATTCATTAACAGAGACAGGCAGAATATGCATATTTAAATAAACTTTTGTGGCTTAATGTTTACAGATACTAGTCCATATCGTGATTTAAGTGTAATAATTTTGATTAATTCATTCAAAATTTGACAAATTCCGTGATATTCCGCGTTAAACTGTGAATTCTGTTTTTATGACTGGATAAAACTACACTGCGTCATTTTCCTGCTTATTATGTGGCCACTTGCCTGATGTGAACATAAAATATCTTACATACCACCACTTGTGAACGAGCCAGTGTAATGCAAATATATCTGAAAGGTCTGCGCGAGGATATCGTCACGTTCTCGCGAGACACATCGGATCTCGTCACACCCCTAATGGTCACCCTATGTAAACGATATGCAAAGTTACAAAGCACAAAATCCACTGCAATGGGAGTTATAAACATTTTGCAATTCAGACTTTTGTTCCCTCAGAATTCAGTTTAAATCTCACAATTCAAACAACTGTGGCTCTACATCTCACAATTCACTTTTGTTTCCACAGAACTGAGTTAACAATCCAGACTTTTTTACTTGTAAATGTGCATTTATGACTTTAACTCGCAATTACATCTCGCTATTCTGTATTTATCTGTATTCTCTCTGAAAGTTAACATCTTTCAATTGCTCAGAATTGAGTTTACATTTCAAAAATAAAAAAGGTAATTGTTACTTATTGTTTTTCTTGTAATTTTGAGTTTTTTTATATATTTTTTTCTTTCGTCTGAAAATTGTGACTTATGAACTCATAATTGTAAGTTTACATCTCACAATTCTGTATTTTTTTCTCTGAATTCTGAGTTTGCGTCTCGCAATTCTGTTTTTTTCCCCACTTTTTATCTCACAATTAAGTTTTTTTTTTTTTACTTGTAAACGAGCAATTATGATTTTAACTCACAACTACATTTCGCTGTTCTGTACTTACCTTTATTTCTTCTGAAAGTTAACATCTTTCAATTTCTCCGAATTCTGAGTTTACATTTCAGTTCTTTTTTTTTTTTTTTGCACCACGGAATAAAAAACAAATTGTGACTTTGTATTTCACAATTGTGACCTTTTTTCTTGTAATTTTTAGTTTTTTTGTTTTTTTTTCTTTCTTCCGAAAATTGTGACTTATAAACTCATTATCGTAAGTTTACAGTTCACAATTCTGTATGCATTTTCTCTGATTCTGATTTTACATCTCACAGTTCAGTTTTTCTCGTTTTGCCACAGAAATACACACATAAATAAAGGTAACTGCGTTTTCTTTTCGGGGGCGTTAAGACAACAGTTTTCAACTAAAAACTGAAAACTTTATGCATTTCGCATGTATTTCATGCATGTCATTCTCATGACAACGGCATTTTTGGGAGCCTGAAAATGCAAACGTTTGAAAATGGGTTTCAAAGTGGACATTTTTGAAAATGATACCATTATCGTCTTAGTGTAAAGTACAAAAATGTGAACTTTTGATATCAGTGATATCATGTGCATGTGTATTATAGGTTAAGTGCACAGGTGTGTAGTGTTACTTTACAAAGTGATATCAACTACTGACGTGGTATGAATAATACAACATTTTTAGTCATTTGCACGGATTTGTGTGGACAGGAATCGTTTTGAGAATGCCGTCGTCCATACACAAAACTTTTCAAAAAATGCAAACTTTTACATTTTTAGTACATAATTGTCATGCATCACAGACTGGGCTTTTTGGAAAAGCTGGCTTTAAAGAGACTAAACTAGAGAACTAAAACAGAGCATTTGAGGCAGAGGGTGAAAAGAGGCGCTGCAACAATGTACAGTATGAGAAAAAAAATGTTTTTTAACTTTAAATCATGTAAATGCCTCCTAGCAGACCCCCAAAAAATAAGGTGATGAACTTGTAAACGAGCATTATACGGGCACGTTTATAATGCTAATGCAAGTAAACGCACATAAATATGGACAAAATGTGAACAGACTTCACCAGCAACCCATTCAAAAACAAACACCCACACAAACAGCTAAAGTAAATACTGATAGATAAAGTGCACTAACGGTGGGAAGACGAGACGGTCCGGCGCCTGCGAGGGGTCTCCTGGCTGTTCTGTTTGTCTGAGGAGCGCGTCTGGACGCAGCGAGGGGGGCTTGGGTCGCTCTGTGCGTGATAGTACTTCATGTGGTAGTGCAGCAGAGATGCCTTGCGGAAAGACTTGAGGCAGCCTGCGATCTTGCATTTGAACGGGTTGTGGTCCAGCTCAATGGACAGGATAGGGGGCGGCTGGTTTTTGATGACCCTGTACACTGAGGGAGGAAAAGGGCAATGAGGTCACATACAAGCAGGTTTTTATACTGTATCGGTGAGAGAGAGTGAAAGCGAGGGCTGTGCACTCACATGGTTCTCTGCTATACTTGTTTGTGGTTGGAAGGTGGATTGTTTGCGGCTGTTTGACTGCTGCAGCTGAGAAAGCAATGCATCAGTTAGCACATCACATAGCTGCATAAATGTCGAATTAACAAGATTTGTACATATTCTGAAGAAAAGGTGAGTGGTGCCTCATGAACTAGCAATAATGATTCAGTCTAAGCAAACACATTTGATGATCAAACTGAAACAAAGGAGGATGTTTACCGAGATCAGGTGTGGATCCTGCCTCCTCTTTGGGTGCTGCATTTTCTGCAGGACTGGTTGAGCCATCCTTACTTTCTGAAGTCTCCGGGACGGAGTCCGGTTTGATTTGGGATCGACTGTTTCTGTCTATGAGGGGATCAGAGTCACAGTCCTGTCAGATGGTTTAAACACCAACTAGTATAAAGAAGCAGCTGGAACAACAAAAAGGATAATACAAGAGAGTGAACCTGTGCTTGAATTGGCTCTGCTCCTTTTGGTCGGTGGTATCTGTCCTGTTGATGCACGTCTCTTCCTCAGTTCTGGACCGTTGGACTTTTCCACATCCTTTCCTGTGAGAGACACAAGCCAAGAAATTGAATCATCAAGTTTGAATCTAATACACGAGTAAATCACCCAACAATCCTCTACTTTCAGTCTTTACAGGAAAAACTTACCAAACCACTAAGTTAACTCTTGACCTGGTTAAAAATTCATTGCCACCAGCAAAAATAAGTAACTTAGTGGCAATTTAGGTCATTTTTTTCCCCCAGTTATTTTCTGTTTAGATGGTATTGGTAAGTTCAGTAAGATTTTAAAAAATGTTTTTGTATTAAGTCTCTTATGCTCACTAATTTATTTGATCAAAAATATAATAAAACAGTAATATTATAAATATTATTACAATTTAAAATAACTGTTTTCTATTTAAACATTTTAAAATGTAATTTATTTCTGTGATGCAAAGCTGAATTTTCAGCATCATTACTCCAGTCTTCAGTGTCACATGATCCTTTAGAAATCATTCTAATTTGCTCAAGGAACATTTCTTATTATTATCAATGATGAAAACACTGCTTACTATTTTAATGGAAACTGTGATACATTATTTTAAGGATTATTCGATGAATGGAAAGTTCCAAAGAACAGCATTTATTTGAAATAGAAATCTTTTGTAACATTAAGTAACGACCAAATCTCCACATGTCAAACGAACAATAAATTGACAACAACGGTATCACAAATTAGCTTCTATAGCTCAAATCATTGGTCCAGCTAACAGACATGCATGTTCTGGTGTAAACAAAAACTGACATTTTCTATCAACAAAGCAATTTGCTCTTTTAACTGAAAGGCAGGACTCCCTGTCCTATAGATATCAAATTGAGCATCCCATTCATATTTGTGACCCTGGACCACAAAACCAGTCTTAAGTGTCAATTTTTCAAAAATGAGATTTATACATTATCAGAAAGTTGAATAAATAAGCTTTCCATTGATGTATGGTTTAGGACAATATTTGGCTGAGATACAACTATTTGAAAATCTGGAATCTGAGGGTGCCAAAAAATCTAAATACTGAGAAAATCGCCTTTAAAGTTGTCCAAATGAATTTCTTAGCAATGCATATTACAAATCAAAAATTAAGTTTTGATAAATGTACGGTAGGAAATTTACAAAATATCTTAATGGAACATGACTTTTTCTTAATATACTAATGATTTTGGGCATAAAAGAAAAATCTATAATTTTGACCCATACAATGTAAAAAATCTAAATACTGAGAAAATCGCCTTTAAAGTTGTCCAAATGAATTTCTTAGCAATGCATATTACAAATCAAAAATTAAGTTTTGATCAATTTACGGTAGGAAATTTACAAAATATCTTCATGGAACATGACTTTTTCTTAATATACTAATGATTTTGGGCATAAAAGAAAAATCTATAATTTTGACCCATACAATGTACTTTTGGCTATTGCTACAAATATACCCCAGCGACTTAAGACTGGTTTTGTGCTCCAGGGTCATATTTATGCAAATGGTCCATCTCCTTTCTTGAGACTATCTCTCTATTAGCTACTCGGCAAATGCAGTCCGTTGGAGTGTGTGAGGTTGAATCTAGCTCTTGGAATTGAATCAGAACAAAATCAAATATTCAGATGTAACACCACCATGTTCCTCCAAACCAAACTCACCATCTGCCACCTTACTCCGTGTCCTTCTGGGCAGACTGGGGCTTTCATCTGTTGCGTCTTCCTTCTCTTTCTGGTCTCCGTCGTTCCCGTCAACGCCATTTTGAAGTGCTTGGGACTCCTCCTGTCCTCCATTCATCTCTTTCTCCTCTGGTTTGTTCGCTTCTCCATTCTCAAGCGGTTCTGTCTTGTTTTCTTCACTGGGCTGTTTTTCGTTGTGCTCCGCAGAACTCGGCTCTGACTCGTTCAATATCTGAGCTGCTGTGCTTTCGCTCTCTCCACCGTTCTGGAGATTTCTGGACTCATCAATCACTGTGGCGTCTTCTTCATCCTCCTCCGATTCGCTCTCCCCATCCTGGTCAGACATGCTGTGTCTCGAGCCGTTACTTCTGCTGCTGCCATTCTCCTTGGCCTTCCATTTTTTCCCATTCTGATCGCCCCGCTTTTGAGTCTGCTGATTGGTCTTGCCATCAGAGCTCTGTAGATAAAGACAAACTCATTAATCCTGTATTTTAATGGCCTGGTTTAATCATTATTAGAGCTGAGGCAATCACTTCTCATACCTTGCGGAACGGCTTCACCTTAATCCCCTTCACTGTCTTTATGACTCCATCAAAAAACTTCACTGTGTAGAAACCTGAGACACCACAGAAGCACAGCCATTTGTAATGCTCAACACTGTCATAATGTAATGTGTGTACATGTCAAATACATAGCTACAAAAAAGATGCACTGATACTGATATATGTCGGATATTAAAATGAAATACTATTGTATAAAAAAATATATAATGAATAACTTTAATCAATTGTTTTGAATGCTGCAAGTGAACGTAGGCATCACAACATTATAAGTAACATTATTAAAAACAGACATTTCTTTTGAGATTCTAAATTCTAATTTTCTAAATATAAAACTTTCATTTAACAGTGTTATTCAATTATTAGTGTTTTATTAAGTTGAAGTGACAGCTAAGGTAATAATGTAAAAATATGTTAAATGGGCAGCACAATTAAATATGCAATGTTTAATATTCATATGTATGTATTACTGTACAAAAGTTTAGGGCTAAAATACAGTAAAAACAGTAATACTGTGAAATATAACTACAATTAAATATTTTTTACATTTTTATTATCATTTATAATAATTTGTTATTTTTATTTTATTATATTTTTAAAAGTGATCAGTAATTTCAGTTTTTTTTAAAAATGAATTATTTTCAGTAATTTACTAGAGTCTCACAATCATTTAAAGGGGTCATATGATGCGATTTAAATTTTTCCTTTCTCTTTGGATTGTTCGACTAGAAATCAGTGGTTAAGTTGTATTTACAACACTGTTCCAGAACAGTTCAACCCAAATATTCAGATGTGTGCAGCGCATTTTATGGAGGACTGTTTCCTGATCCTGGTAGAGTAGACTACAATGTAATCTGACTGTTTTGACTCACAGACTGTAAGTACGTTTTTTATATTTAAAGAATTTGCCACTGATGATTCAAACGTGAGTTTTGAGCAGTGTAGAGTAGAGCTTGTTGTTTGTCATTTCTCCGATCACAAATGCAGACATGGTTTTATGTTTACGCGGCGCGATGTTTTTGTCTCGTCGCTCCGGGATCACAATATGGTAAGGGGCGTAACATTTCCGTCACACACGGTATTCAGCCAATCACAACGCACTGGATAGCTGGCCAATCAGAGCACACCTCGCTTTTCAGACTGATGAGCTTTGTAAAAATCGATGCGTTTCAGAAAGGCGGGGCATAGAGGAGAAATAATAATGTACAGTATGTGGAAAATGTGTTTTTTAAACCTTAAACCACATAAACACATTGCATTACACCAAATACACAACATAATGTTCTTTTTAGCAGCATCATATGACCTCTTTAAACATCAGCCAAAAACAATGGTACACTATTATGTTTCGGCTGCCAATTTACTCTGGACCATTCAGAAAATAAACTTAGCATTAATGATGTGAGTGTAGTGAGTACACACCATCTTTATCCCGGGACATGATCTTAGCAGGGTAGTACCGACAGTCTGACCAGCTGGCAAGAACTTTCTGGTTGACATGAAAGCCCTGAGAATAGAAACATATCTATATATAATCTTGCAACATTGAGTCAGAGTACAACTTTGCCCATGCAGACTGTGAGTGACTCAGCACAGTTAGACAGGAAGTGCTTACTGGAGCGCTCTGCCGTTCACGGAGACCTTGTTTCCTCAGCTGGATTCGTTCCACAGGTCTGAGGTACGGACTGCTCCAGTCAAACCATTCATCATAACGGTGACTCCACTGCCTGTAGTGAATCAAAACCTTCTCGTCTTCATAGTCGATCTTCTCAATGCTAGCTGCATACCTGTCAACACAAAACAGACAGAGTTATTTCAGATTAGTTACAGATTACAGCTGGGTCTCTAAAGAAAGGTTGAAAATTGTTTGCGGGAAGAATTAATAAATAAATACTCAGCTGGAAAAGCCCAACATTTGTGGAATATGATTTAAAATGCTAATGTTTTCAAAAATATTGGAATGCAACAGAACTAGTGGCATCAGTGCCAGTGAAGCATCTGAATTTCAATCAGGCCGAGTGAATGAACAGATGGAAGAACGGAAGCAGAGGAAAGACACTGACCAGTTCTTCAGACTGTCCCTGGCCTCCAGCTGCGCTCCCACCTCGAACGTGATCCCACGCCTGTGAGGAGTGCTCTTTGACATGCTGGTCACACACTCACACACCAACCTATCAAACCAGAGAAACACATCATGAGGTCAGAGGTAAAGGATGCTATGAATGTCATGGACGACACAACCTAACCAAGTTGCTCATAAATAAACAATACACTACAGCCTAAGGTACATAAGAGAGACCTTTTCCAGCACTTTTTCCCAACAATTTGATTAGACTTTTATTTCAAAGCTGATTATTTCAAAGCTTATCTTGTTCCCAATATAAATTTTCATTAGTGCCAGGTTTCAGCTGTGCATTGGTTATGTACTTTAAAATATAATTTCAATGAATGACTGAACTTTTGGGTGATTGGAACTGTCATTTTTCACCTCCAAAAAGCTGGCATGAAAAAAAGATACATCACAGTTTAGATAATATTGTTCCTAAAATTACATATTGAATATTGATATTGGATCTCTGCTATCTAGGGTGTAATGCAGGGTTCCTCAATAGGCGGCCCGCAGAAGGCCAAGAACCACCCGACGCGAAGTGCATTTATAATCCTTTAATGCACTTACAAATGAGGAAAACAGAAGCAATCAAACCCAAAAAAAAAAGAGCAATAATATGCCATATTTACCACATCTCTCATGCTGGTTTGTTTACAGCATGCACAAATCTGTTGCTTCAGCGTGATTTATGTCATGCTCAAAAAACACAACACAACAACTCACAGGAAGTGATTATCAGCCAGTTCTTAACAGCGATCAATCTGAAGCAACACATAAATGTGTTTTTTTTTTTTAAGTGAGTTGATCAAAACAGCATTTTTTTGATCAACTATCACTTTGATGTGACGCTGTCTCTCTTTCTCTCACACACACACACACGCGCGCGCGCGCACACACACACGATGCGCAAAACTCCGC